TATATATATATATACATACACATACACACACACACTTATTTATTTTTTCCGGAATTTTCAGAAAAGTCCACTTTCATCTCTGTTAAACGTAATCAACAATGATTTGCCTGAATCCAAGGGTGAAGATTGGTTGTCACTGGGTGGTCCCACTGCACTACGGTTCACTTACATTACGAAATGTCCTTCCATACCTATTTGTCATGTCCTTGTTTATGATACTAATGCAGCGTGTTGTACCGGAGACAAATTCCTTGTGTGTTCTACATACTTGGCCAATAAAGATGATTCTGATTCTGATTAAATCCAGTTACCGGGCGGTGTCTTGCAATCATTTCACACTACAACTTTCATAAGAATTGCTCCAAAGCATTATTAGTTAAAACAAAAAGAACACGCATGAAGAAAGCTGCATTTATTGACAACTAGCATGCAATTTTCCAAAATACAATGAAAAATTACTCTAAGAAGTATCCATGGTCTGCACACTTTCCTCCATCAGATCCAGGTTCAATGGCGTCACTAGTTTTGTCAAGACAGCCGTGGTTCCCCTTTTGTACTTGTAGTCACCACTTCTAAGAAGGGGGCAGAACATATTAACCAATTATATACAGTAACATAAAGAAAACTTTCATTCAAGTAATAACAAAATAGTATTTAAAGATATGACTTTTCAGAGAAGTTTTGTCAACTGCATTTATTTACACAAATTATAGTTTTTTAAAAATATCTGAAATGCAAGTAAACTTTTCAAGATGAATCACTTGCGCCTATTCAGAATTTGCCCTCCTGTTTTCTCTTGCACATCAGGTTTTCAAAATAATACTAATAAAATATAAAAGGAATAATATAGTATGTCATAGAGCAATATATTTAGTATGAATAAATGGTTAGGTCCAGCAACTGGTGGAATTTATCCTGAAACATCATAGCTATAAAGGCCAACGCATGGTAAAATCAGTTTTTGTGCAAGCTTTTATAGATCAAACTTAAAAGTGAAAAGTTAAAATATCTCAAAATCCTGATATGCTAGAAACATTATTTTTCCAAATCAGTGTCAAATATACGTTTAGTAACACATTAAGTTGTCTCTGATTAAAATTTGCCGTTGACCAGTGTTATTTAATATGCCACCACCAAACTAGGTCTGGGGTGCCCAAGTAAGGCCCTCGAAAGCCCCTATTCAGCCTATTTTATATGCTTCCTTCCTCCATGACACCCGATTCAAATGATCAGGATCATTATTAGGTGTCTGCAAAGCTTGCTGATAAGCTGATGATATGAAGGGCTCTCGAGGATCTGACTTGGACACTCCTGCACGAGGTGAATGTTACAAAACACACAACCACTGAAACCTGACAACATAACTAGCACAAACCTTAAGAGTGCACAGAAAACGTGAAAGAAAAATTGAATGCAGATAACTTTCAGACAGGAACAAAACCAGAGCTAAACAATTTTTTTTCCTGACCTGGAACCTTTCTTGTTGGCCTCATCATGGGGTCTGATGTAGTCCACCTTTTCGTTGGTGATCACACACAGATCTATGTTGCTGCCAGAACCCAGATCATTGAATATTCCTGCTGCGATGGCATCACGCACCAGCACCTTGGCCTCCTCTTCCTAGAAATTAAATGCATTTGATCGGCAATACACACACACGAAAAGTAGTTCGCTATTTGATTGGCGTAATCAACATTTGTTTATTTGTTTGACTTACCGACATGCCAGGTTTGAATCTGTCTTCAAAAACTGATATGGCAGCCAGGGATCCAGAACCTTGTAGAAAGAATAATGGAGGTGGGTGAAGGGAAAGAAAGAGCATTGAAATTGCGAAACTTTTTTGAAACAGAACCCCCCCAAAAATCAAAACAAAACATAAAAAAAAAAACCTATGGTAATTATATAATCAGACTATTTTTTAAAACTAGGTTCACAGTGACACTTCACCTGAAAATTGAGGGCAAGTAGAAAAATTAGCGGTGCACATGAATCCCAAATTGACAAGACAGTTCGACACAGAAGTCATCGAATGAATCCTGTATTCTCCCGTCATGGTTTGGTTTGTGGCCGCCAAAAAAAAGGACAAAATCTGACTGCAACGGACAGTTAGGACTGCGGAAAAAAATCATTGGCACCGCTCTCTCCCTAAACAATAACCCAAATCTACCTGTATCGTGGCTCTTTGCAATTTTGCACACGCCTGTTGAACAGCATTACCGCAATTATCATTGTAGCTCCAGCTCTGTACTTACTTGAACCATTGTCACTGATCTAGATTTCACACCACCAGACACTTTAAAGCGCTCAAGGACTTCTGTACAATTGCACACTGAAACGTTTTCTACAAATACTGCTACTGGTCACTTTAAAATGGTGCAATCATTATCTGCACCAACTGCACAACTGTTAGAGTATTGGATTCTACCACTGATCACTTTAGCTCTGCTTGATACTTTGCACGTTGTCTCACAGCTGTCATTGGGTGGTGCCACCGCACAACGGTACCCTTACATTACGGAATGTCTTTCCACACTTATTTGTCATGTCCATGTTTATCGTAGTTGCTTGATATCGATGATACTAGTGTAGCGTGTACTACCGGAGACAAATTCCTTGTGTGTTCTACATACTTGGCCAATAAAGATGATTCTGATTCTCAGATTTTATCGAAGTGGTTTTTAATCTGATGTACAGTTTCAAAAAAATTTCAAATTCCAATGTGCCCTTACAGTAAAGTTATCAGGGCTGCGAGAGCCCTTTAAAGCTGCTGGCAGCTCCAGTTATTTTCGAAATGATTAATGCTTTACTTCAAGAGCTCTGTGACTTTTGTCAATTTAAGCATTTTTGAAAAAAAGGGATGAAATTTAGATGTGTGGTTTTGAATTTAATTCATTGTTTAATCAGAGGTTTAAGGTGCTGAGCTGAGTTCAGGCAAGATAAATGTCAGTTTTGTACATTTGAGAGAAGCCTAACACTTTCTGTGAATGTCGGTAACAAAACCTGATAACTGTCTATTTCTTCTACTCAAAAGCTGTGGTGATCTCAAATAAACTATGCAACATTGCTATCTTCGAGGCATCTGTTAGTCCTCAATCACATCAAAGCCTCACATGCAAACTGGGCGAGACCCTCCTCCATGCCTACCTGCCAAAAAACGTACTTGTTTAGAGTCCAGTTGACAAATCCGCGAATTAAATAAATAAATATCTCCTTTTCCAAATGATAGTGATCAATGACCAATTATGTTTTCTCCCGATTTCTGATCACTTGATAGGTTAAATGTAAGTCCTAAAACGATACATCTTTATTTAGACAGCGCTTTCACAACAGAACACATAACCTAAAACATTGAAAATAATACAACTAACAAATCTTCCCACATACCCTTTGTTGTTAGACGCGAAGAGATGTCATAAAAAATATTGATGATTTTGGCACAATTTAGCAATTAATTGGCAAGTGAAATAGAACCTGCATCTGAAAAAGGGGGCATATTCTGGTTTCTGTTGTGAAACTTACCCATAGTGACATATGGAAGCTTGTCCGTCGAGCCATAAGGGTAGATGCTGTAAAGATGAGGACCCTTACAGTCCACTCCACCAAGAACCAGAGCAGCACCAATGTAGCCTTGATACCTGAAATTAAAAAAAAGGCTCAAAAACATATCCATGTATTTGTGGGTATTGACTCAAAACAGTTGAGGGTATTGGAAAAGCATAAAGCCAATACAGTATACCGAAAGAGCATTTGCTTGAACATGCGGTTCGCAGTGGCCACGCGTGGCAGTCTGCCTGTGGAGAGGGCGTGTAGCTCCAGATTGGAGGAAATGATCTGAGTGGTCATTTCTGTGTCTGCGGCCGTTCCTGCTCCACAACAGCTGTATCATAAAATTAGACAACAAGATGGCACTTTGTTTCAGATGTAACAGACCAAGGGAAAGACATGTTTGTCAAAAGGTCCAATGGCATCAAAATGCAACGTTCTGAGCACAAGATAGGCGAAACTGAGTCTACAACTTAAGGATGTGTACAAGATTGACATCTATGCCTTTTGTTGGCGATCACACAATCGTCGATGAAATGCAAAAGGCAGGAAAACATGCCAATCGGGTTGTCCTGTGACATAGACGCGATCCTATGAATTGAAGTACCCGCCCACTAAATTCAAGAAAAATGGCTGAAAAGTTGCATGGGCATCGTATTCCAGAGCTGAAACAAAATACTTTGCATCATCTGCCAAACTCAGAAGACTTGAGGACTTGCTTAAATTTATTTATGTGGAAATCCCCAAGCAGAAGTGTCACGAAAACTGTCCTGTATTGTGCACATTTTGTGTGTGTGTGTATGTTGGGGGCGAAGCACAGGCGTTGCGGATGCACACACACATCATTATCAATATTTTAAAGATATTGATAATGATTATAATTTGTTCAATCAATTTATTTCCACAATGATTCAGAGGGAATGTCCCACACTTGTGTCACATTTGTGAATGAAATCCAGTGAGGTGAACCACACAAACCCTGCGCCTCAACTAAATACACAAAATTGCGTTAGACCACCTGCGTTGCATGATAACCTGGCTAAAATCACTTACTAAATATTGGGCGAGATGTAATGTATCTTGGAGCAGTTCTTGTCAGCCACTACCATGTCCTCGGTGGCTCTAGTGTCAGCTCCAAGGACAACACCATCCTTAAAAAGAGAATGACAATATTTTAAAATTCAGTTAACCCAACTTAAATTTGCAGAGGTGGGTGTGGAGGTATTCATGTAGCATGAATGGGGGTGCACATTCATTTTGTGTGTAGTTCCAATGAGAAACTGGGGTAGTTTCATTCACGCTTTAATTATTTTTGTGTGTGCCTAAAACCAATTTGAGGTAGGAAAAGAAAGGTTTGAGGATATTCAAAAAGAATTAACAACTAAATTACGAAATTAATTGGTTATGGAAGAAAACTTTGTCAGTAGAGACACGTTTTCCATGTAAATGCCCTAATTTGTTCCAAACCTCTGCAAAATTCAGACATAAATGTTTTCTAAAGCATAAAAATGCATCAAAACGTGTAACAAATACATGTGACAATTAGATTATTGCACAATAAATGAGAATTGTGGATAATGAAAAAAACAAAGAACAAAGTAAAGAATAAAAATGGTCATTTAACTTTAAAGTGCGTCCTCATCATTTTTTGCCCTCTTTAGTTCATGTTCTCTCTCAGAAGTGGTTTTTGCCTGGCATTTTGTAAAGAACTGATCCAAGGACGTTTTCTTTTGTCTACTTCCTGCAATCCTTCGAAAATGCCCAAGGCAAACATCAGCGGATGAGGGATCGCCAACTGTTGAACATTTTTTCTGGGTGACTCACATTTAAGTAAAACTATCGAAACGCCTCATGGCCCAAGGGGCGAATGACGAGGACACCGCATAGACACATATCTTTCTATTTATCTATCTACACACGTAGACACATTCGGTAGAGGTCCCTCTTAGCCAATGGGATGCCAGTATGATGCTCGGTAGTAGCCAATGGCAGAGCAGCTAGAAGTATGTTGTGTTCAGGAAACTCGGAGCTGCGATTAGCAGGCCATACTGTATTTTTTGCCTTTTGTATCTTGTTAGAAATGAAATTTCTAACAAAATGAAATTTCTAACAAGAGAGGCAATATCTTCCTGTTGAGGAATTTTGAAACTTGAAAATTTCATATGAGGAGACGTTCGTAAGTAGAGGTACCACTGTACTGTAAAATCCCATGTGTAACACGCCCCTCTCCCAAATCAACCTAAACCAGTAGTTTTTTTCTCTGTACTCCGTATAGTACGGTACCCTGGTATCCATTATTATTAT